CCCTGTGTCTTCCTTGGCTTTGTCCCGGACGCGCCTGGTTGGCAGTTCTACCACGCCACCTCGCGTCGTGTCCTGGCCTCTCAGGACGTCACTTTTGACGAGTCCGTCCCCTACTACCGCCTCTTCCCCTACCGCACTGCCCCGCTCCCCCCCCCGCCTCTCTTCCTCGCTCCAGGTGCTGAGGTACCAGACCCCCTCCCCCCTCAGGGTCCTGCCCCCTCAGGTGTGTCCCAGGTAGACCCGGTTGAGCCTGTCGAGGTAGCTGTTGACTCTCGTCCTGCTGGGGGTGCTGAGCCTGACCGTGAGGAGTCTGAGGGTACTGAGCCTGGGGGTGCGGAGCCTGGGGGTGCGGAGCCTGGGGGTGCGGAGCCTGGAGGTGCGGAGCCTGGGGGTGCTGAGCCTGGGGGTGCTGAGTCTGGGGGTGCTGAGCTTGGAGGTACTGAGCCTGGGGGTGCTGAGCCTGGGGGTGCTGAGTCTGGGGGTGCTGAGCCTGAGCGTGCTACACCTGGAGGAGCCCTCTCCTCCCCACAGCTGCAGGAGAGGTACCTACAGTACTGCCGCCTCCGGAGAGGTGCTCCTGGAGCTCGTACCAGTACTTCCCCTCCTGCCCAGGAGCTCCCCCCCATTCAGCAGATCCGAGAGTGGTACACGCGGCGCTGCAGTCTTCGGAGTGGTGCTCCTGGTGCTGCGGACCCTGGGGGTGGCGCTGCTGCTGGTGCTGAGGACCCGGGCGTTGGAGCTGCTGCTGGTGCTGCGGACCCGAGCGGTGGCGCTGCTGCTGGTACTGAGGACCCGGGCGTTGGAGCTACTGCTGGAGCTGAGGACCCGGACGGTGGAGCTGCTGCTGGTGCTGAGGACCCGAGCGGTGGCGCTGCTGCTGGTGCTGAGGACCCGGGCGTTGGAGCTACTGCTGGAGCTGAGCACCCGGACGGTGGAGCTGCTGCTGGTGCTGAGGACCCGAGCGGTGGAGCTGCTGCTGGTGCTGAGGACCCGGACGTTGGAGCTGCTGCTGGTGCTGAGGACCCTGCCGCTGGTGTCTCTGCTGGTTCTGGAGACGCTACGCGGCCGCGACCGTACTTCGTACCGCTTCTTCAGCAGGTTCTTGGTCAGGCTCCTCCTCCTCGTCCTCCTCCCTCCGTAGAGTGTCCTCCGCCTGTCCAGTCGCAGTCACAGTTCCCGCCTGCCTCGCCTCTCCCTGCTCCCTCTCCTTACACTGGTCCCACGGGAGGTCTTACAGAGCGTCGTGAGCCTGAGTCTCGTCCTGCGTCGCCTGTTCGTACTGCTCGCACTGGTCGTCGTGTCCCACGTGAGCGTCCTCCTCCTGTCCCTGGCACTCACTACATGACTCTGCGTCCCTCCACTGCTCCTCAGCGTGTTCCGCTGCCGTCTCCTCCTGCGTCCTCTCTGCCTACTCTTCCTGATCCGGAGTCTGACTCCCTTCGTGCTGCCAGTCCCACTGTCACCCGTCTCCTTGCTACTGTTGTCACTGACCCTACCTTTGAGTCTTCTGCTGCGTCTGCTCTGGTCGCTGAGTTGATAGACTTTGCTGCCCGGTGTCGTCTAGACTACGCCACTAGCCTTGTTGCTGAGTCTGAGTCTGAGTCTGTCTGTCCTCCGTCCGTCGGGGGTGAGTGTGCTCTTGGCACGGACGTCCTTGAGGACAGACAGGAGGAGTTCCAGTGCTTTGCTGCTGCTTTACCCCACCTCGTGTCCATGCTAGTTGCCCCTGAGGGAGACCCGGATGCACTAGACATCCCGACCCCGCGCACTTACGCTGAGGCGATGGCGGGTCCCTACTCCTCTCAGTGGCAGACAGCCATGGACGCCGAGATGGCTTCCTGGAAGTCCACACGCACCTACGTCGACGAGGTTCCCCCACCTGGGGCGAACATCGTCAGTGGCATGTGGATTTTCAGGGTGAAGCGGCCACCGGGTTCTCCTCCGGTCTTCAAGGCGCGCTACGTGGCTCGAGGCTTCAGTCAGCGAGAGGGAGTTGACTTCTTCCAGACCTTCTCCCCCACCCCGAAGATGACCACTCTTCGGGTGCTACTGCACATAGCCGCTCAGCGCGACTACGAGCTTCACTCGCTTGACTTCAGCACTGCTTTCTTGCAGGGCAGCCTGCACGAGGAGATCTGGCTGCGCCGCCCTCCTGGCTTCACTGGGTCGGTTCCTCCTGGTACCCAGTGGAGGCTTCAGCGGCCGGTCTACGGTCTCCGCCAGGCACCACGTGAGTGGCACGACACACTGAGGACGACACTTGCGGCTCTTGGGTTCGCTCCCTCTACTGCTGACCCGTCACTGTTTCTACGCACAGACACCTCGCTGCCGCCGTTCTACATCCTCGTGTACGTCGACGACTTGGTCTTTGCCACTGCTGACACCGCGGCACTCGCCCACGTGAAGTCGGAGCTGCAGAGGAGACACATGTGCACAGACCTGGGTGAACTGACAAGCTATCTTGGCTTGCGGATCACCCGGGACAGAGCACGGCGCACCATCACCTTGACTCAGTCACACATGGTGCAGCAGATCCTTCAGCGCTTCCGCTTCACGTACTCCTCGCCTCAGTCCACTCCTCTGCCTACCGGTCACTCGCTCTCAGCTCTGCCTTCGGATGAGTCCGTAGAGCCGAGTGGCCCGTATCCAGAGCTTGTGGGCTGCCTCATGTACCTGATGACCTGCACTCGACCTGACCTTGCATACCCTCTTAGCATCCTTGCGCGCTATGTCGCTCCTGGCCGTCACAGGAAGGAGCACATGGATGCCGCTAAGAGGGTGTTGCGCTACTTGTGCAGTACGTCGGGCATGGGGCTAGTGCTTGGAGGGCGAGACCGAGTTGTACTTACTGGACACTCAGACGCTTCTTGGGCGGACGACCAGGCTACTCAGCGGTCGTCTCAGGGTTACACCTTCAGCCTTGGCTCCGGCTCAGTTTCTTGGCGTTCTACACGCTCTTCTTCTGTTCTCAGCTCTAGTTGTGAGGCTGAGATCTACGCCACAGCCATGGCTGCCCAGGAGCTACGCTGGCTGACCTACCTGCTGACCGACTTGGGAGAGCGGCCTCGTTCTCCTCCAGTGCTGTACGTCGACAACCAGGCTGCCATTGCCTTGTGTGAGGAGCACAGACTGGAGCACAGAACGAAGCACATTGCCCTGCGGTACTTCCTTGCTCGAGAGCTGCAGCAGCGTGGTCAGCTTCGTCTGCGTTACGTGGCCACTGAGGCCAACCTTGCTGATGTGTTCACCAAGGCGCTTCAGCCTTGTGACCATCAGCGTTTCTGTACTCTTCTAGGCCTTGTGCCTGCTGGACCTCACTTGCTTACTTCTTGACTCTGCTTGTACTGTGATCTTTATATATATGCCTGCATGTTTACACTTGCTAGGTTGTTATCACTGTTTCTCTTGTTATATTATCAACCTGCATGTGAACTGGTCTTGTGACCATTTGCTTGTGCTCGGAATTTGTGTGGTATCCTTGAGATCCACCCTGAGCTTGTTTTGCTTTGCTTTGACTGGTCTTGTGACCCCTTGCTCTCCCCCACTTTGCCTATGGGGGTGTGTCAAACATTATATGTGTTGTGCTTGTTTAGGCTGCAGTGGGTTAGCCTATAGGGGGTACACAATTCTAGGGTTAGGTACTTGTACTCATTTCACTGCTAGTTCATTCATTCCTCGTTCAGTTATTCTGACACACATGTGAACATGGTGAGCACTCAGTCATGAGCACCTCCTTTAAACCATATGAACTATGAAACGCGGGATGCGGGCAAGCGAAACGTACCTCGAGTGTGTCACAGTACTCCAATTCCACAGGGTCGGCCATCCCTTCCACCTGCACCATGATCTTCTTCCATGTCACATGATGGCGACCCAATGTTCTCTCCGCGAATTTGTCCACATCCCGGGAACCCTTCCAAGTTGCTACCTCTGATGCCTTGAACTGTGGATGATTTATAAGCCTGAAGAACGCCTTAGTTTTGTCTCCTGTCATCCCCGCTCCGTTCTTGAAAGACTTGACGAACCGATATACCTCCCTGCACGTATCAAAATCATTAACCAGCCGATCTGCGATAGCTGCCGCCTCAGCACTGTCGAGCGCTTGTGTCGGACGACTGTCCTGTCGGCGAGATGCAGTGTGACATGGTCGACTCGGGCCGTCATCGCCCTGCTCGCCGGTGCCTCCGATTTCCGCGTGGGTCGATTGCGATCTCGGCCTAGGCGGTCGCACAGCGTCTTCGCATGCCGCCTGCTGCCGCATATGAAGACCGAATGCAGTGCTGTGCGCAAATGGGCGCTCGCAATTACCGCAATATACCACGGCCGCTAGAAGTACAGGGAGGATTAACGAGGTTAGAAACATGGCGACGACAGAGCCCCGCTGCCTGAGTGGAGCCATAGACGTAACGGAGGAGCGCATGGCTTCAGTCGTTGAAGCAACGAGCTAAATAGTGCAGGGTGATGGCTCACAAGCTCACGCGATTTGGAGGAGCTATCTAGGGTTTGATTCAGCTAAGCGTGACAGTGGGTTCCCAAGGGGACCTCGAGATTCAACTGACTAACAGACACCACACAAAGGAAGAGTCGTATACTCGTTTAAGAGTTGTACATACGGTCTCGGTTGTTGTTCGTGCTTCAGTTGAGGGCTCTCAGGGTTCTCACATAGCAGCACCAATCGGTTGGCGGTACAATCTTATGACGGATACTTCACACGGGTAGTGTCGTATACTCGTTTCAGAGTTGGTGTCTCTGGTTCGGAAATTGTTTGCACAAATTTCTGATAACAACTTGCGTTTTAAAAGTAAGCAAACAAAAGTACACATATATACTCGTGCACCAATGAAACCCAAAAACGGCCAACCACACGTGCCTCGTTAGAGCTGCTACCAGCAAGACTGACTCTAAAGATCAACTACCCATGCAAATAGCTTAACGAAACTGCCATGGCAGATGGGAGATAAATCTGTGCGCATGCCTCTAGAACAACAAAACCAACCATCCTAAAATGCATGGTTGTCCCTGCACCGCTTGCAAGGCATCAGCAACTCTGCAAACTTCATGAACGCGTCCCAGCGATCGAAAGTGCAGTGCACACCGCCGTGTGCGACGACAGCTCCCTCGCCGACTGCATCATTGTCACAACATACCAACGGTCAGGTGTACTTCGTAAGCTTATGACGACGTGCAATAAAAGAATAAAATGGAAAACACCACATTCTAGATCACCGATCATACGTACTGTCGTGTCGACGGTGACGGCACTCGCCAAAGGTGCATTCATCCAGCATGTTGACAGGAAGCTTCTTGGGTGTCTCGCGAACGCGCTTGGGAAGGACGATGTCCTCTGGCTCTGTCCTGGCGGGGCGGCGAAGATTATCGCGCGGACGGTTAGAAGGCTTGGGCGCCGGATCCTGCGCCGGCTTAAAACTCGACGAGAAGACGCTCTTTCGACGCGGTACACCATGCATGCCGAAGCAAGCGAACAACGGGTCCTCGCTCTCAGGTGACGCCCAGCGGTTCTCGTCGTTCTTGTCAGGTTCCTCGTCGTTACCGGCCACCCCATCGGCAACAGGTTGCGAATCATCTACAATCTTGGGCTTGGCGGAGTTTTGGGGCGCTTCCATCTCTGGAATCGTATGAGGCGCGTTACTGAGTGCTAACTAACCAGGAAGCAAAGTGTTGCGTCAAATGAATGAGACGCTGATGTCGCGCAGTCTGAGCCTCTTTCAGCCCCTAACATACACTGGCGAGATGCTACCGTATAGGGCGAGGTTGGGAACAGGCTCTGTTGCCAATAGTTGGAATTGAGACCGTAGATGTGCCACATGGGCTTTTCGTGACCGTGGATATGCAAGTTAGACAATACATGCTTAGATCCTCGGTCCGCGCTGCTCTTATCAACGGTGCCCGTTGATCCCCAGGATTGCACCAATCATTTTGATCCAGCGCATAATCAATACAGTGATGTGTTTGTGATTGGGTGTTGATGTTGAGCCCCCTCACACCGATGTTCTGGCAAAATACCGAGAAGAAACACTACGCACCGAGTACAGTGATGGATTTGGGTTGCTTTGCTACGCCTATGCGAAACGCATTAGAGCCTGAACACGTCGAACCAAAGTACTGTACCGCACTGCACCGACATCATATTGATGGGTTCACCGTTTGAACGACAAAGCCGGAACCTCTCCACTCCACCGACTTTGTGAGTGTGCGTACCGTAATGCACACTTCAACTCCTCCTAGTAACGAACCGTAGATCTCTGCACCGTATACAGTGATGGGTTCGAGGTTGCTAGATCGGAAACCCCGACACGCCGATTGTCATATAACGTACCAAAACGCTCTACACCGTAACGTGGTTTCGGATGACACCTTCACACCGCGTGATGTTCAATCACCTATCAGGCTGTTGGGACACACAGCCCCAACCACCCTTAGGCGTGCAAATTCTTCGCGCTACAAATACGCATGCATCCACTGCCTGTGCACTCCACCTTTCCACTAGCTCGGTTTATATCTCTACGCTATGGCCACTCAGCAGGGTGACGGTGACGCGAACGCAGGGCAAGCGGGGAAGCGGCCCCGTCTGCCGAACACCCTGTTCCCGTTGTTCGAGTAGGAGAGTGGCCTCGCGCGTGGTGCTCGGCAGGGTCGCGCTGGGGATACTGGAACGAGGACCCTGAACATGACGGAACGCGAGCATAACGAATGGCTGCAGTACGTGGCGCGGCGCACGACGACTCGTACCAACCCGCACGCGGCCGAGCAGGAAGACGATTACGGTTAGTACGCGTATTTTTTAGCTGTCCAACGTGCATGGGTGTCTGCCCGACGTCTCCTCCTCTGATGATTATTCACAACTCGCTGTGGCAGATGATATTGAGCAAGACGAAGACGATGTCGATGCTGCCATAGGCAACGCAGCAGCGGGTAGCGGGGCAACCACGGTGACGAATGCTCCACCCGTGAGGCCGAAGCTGGGTGTGGTTAGGAACGGTAAGAGTGCGTGGTATGCATCTGCGCTTTTTCAAACATAGCATCCATATTTCTACTCTACTGCCCTCGTATTAATATCCAGTTTGTATCCGTGAAACAGGGAAAGGAAAGAAAGGCGCGCAAGGTGCCACGGGGCAGAAAGGGTTCAGCCAGCAGTCCGTGCGTCAGCCTGCCGGAAACGATGACACTGCTTCAGGTAGGCGGCGTGTGCAAGTCAAAAGTTCAGTTGCCTGTGGCTCACTTTTTTCCAGGACCATCATTTTCGCCATCAACTTACGCTTCTCTGTTTGGTGAATCTTGCAGGGCGATGTCAACAGGCTGAGTGGGAGGGGAGCGTATGTTGATGGTGCCCCCGAGACCCCGAGGTCCCTGCGCGACTACAGCTGGGATGCAGCAGAGGATGATGGAATCGGTGACGCTGTGAGGGCGCTTCAGTCACAGGTTGGAGACATGAAGCGCGCCCTGCTGGACTCAAACGAAGCCATCAAGGCCCTCAATGCCTTGGTGCAGAAGAGCCTGGACCTGCAGCAGGAGGTGCACGCCACGCTGGCGTCTCTGCAGGCCTCGGGGCTACCCACTGCCCCAGCTGTGCCGAACAATGGGGGTGGCGGCGGTGCCTGCGGAGGAAGTGGTTCCGGCTCCAACGACACGGAGGATGCAACACACGCCTCTGAGCTGAAGCGCGCGGTCGCAGCTATCATGGAGCCAGCGAGACTCTCGGTAAGACCTTGCCCTTAGTACACCGGGGTTTGATAGTACCCGCTACTGCTTTTCTGGTTTACTGTAACTTGCATTCACATATGACATGCGCGTCCCATATTACAGCCAGCCGTCATTGCTATTCACAGTTTACTTTATGTATGCCACCTTTCCGTGTTTTAGTCCCGATATGTCGAAGTGTTTCTGAAGTGCATCACCGAAGGTGATGGTACTGGTGACAAGGGTCTCAGCATGTGGCCAGACCTGAAGCTGGTGGTGAAGTGGAGCGCGGCAACAGGCGCTATCAGGGAGAACCAGAAGGAGAGGCTGCTATACTGCCTCAACCACTCGTCGGACCACAGCAACACCTGGTCGGCCGTTGCGGCTCGCATGCGCGGTGGCATCACCCGCGTGGGCAAGACTGTCCTCTTCCGCTTTTTGGGCACTCCGCGGCATGTGGCAGATATGCCCAGAGAGGTGCCCTGGAGGGTGGTCACCTGTACGGTGTATCGCATTCCCCGCACGGCATTCGAGGCGTACCCAATTGGTGAGTGTATGCTGTTTTTTCTTTGCATTCCAGCAAGCTCTGTGTGAATGTGTTGGTCCCGTTGCAGTTTGCTAAACAATCCGTGTGCTTATGCCACACCCCACCCTCCTGGTTCATTCTTGTTTTCTCAGCTGGGTACTCGATGCCTTGGCACTTCAACGAGGACGGCCTGCCCTTCAGCACGGATGCGTTTGAGATCTTCATCGCTGCGGCCTACTGGCGCCTCCTGCAGCGCAAGGTGCTGCGTATCTACCCGTACACGCTGGCGTTCGCCTTGTATGGGGTGAGTGCTCCGCTGATTCCATGTGCGCTGCCTTTATGACCACTTGATAAAACATTAACACACCCACTTCTTGATCTCTGTTGGCAGGCGGAGTACCCTGTTGTGCACCACGATCGCAACAGGGCTGGACTCCCCACCAAGGACACCCCCAACATCCACAACACGGATCGCATGCGTGCGATCGTGGTCAACTGGATGCGGGATGCCATCGTACGCACGTATGGCACTCCCCAGGGGCCACGCTGGGACCCTGAGGAGGGGGCGTACCAGTTTAGCGCGGGCACCCACTTCCGTGTGCTCATCGCTTTCCCCCCTCCCGCCGAGGTCAGGGCATTGCCCACAGAGATTGTCGGGCCTGAGATGAGCGATGCTGACGACGAGATCCCTACTGCTCCTGCTGGGCCTGCACAGGCCTAAAGCCAACAGATGCTGTACATAGGAGATCTTCTAAAGGGTGGGGTCATTTTTTGTGGGGTATGTAGTGTTGGGTCAAATTTTTGTGGGCTATAGTGTCAGGGGTTAGGTGCCATGTACCAATCATTTAAAATAAAAGTAGCTGTTCACACAAAAAAACATGTTTTTATGGCAAGGGTACATGCTGGACCTCCACATAAGAACATGGTAACTGTGTAACCCTGCATTTAGGCAGGTTAAATGCTAACGTTACACTGTATGTCTAATGTTACAGCTGTAACCCTAATAACAGCGTAGCCATGCATTATGATCCTGTAACCATGTAACCTTGTAATTGAAAACCCCTTTGGGTGTAACAGGTAACACCGTTACCTGTGTACCAGTGTTACCGTTACATACAGGTAGGTTGTTTTGATGGATTTCACTTAAAGCCACACCGTAGATACGATGTGTGTAGTGTGTGGATCCAGACCGATATGTACAATGAACATCTGTTCTCCCGAGTTTGTTGTATCAAGTAACGGGCGACGGTACTCCCGACTAAACAGTTAGTTTGTCGCGACCCTCGCGAGGGTAAGTTGGAGCTCACTAAACGCAACGAACCGACCTCGCGATTGGCGATAGAGTAGCGGGGTTGTAAAAAAACCTATACCTACAATGCTGCCGTAGCCTTAGCGCATGCAATGGTTGTTCATGGCAAATATGCGGTGGGTACTTTGTGGCGCCGCCCTGATGTTTTGGGATGCCGTTGGCGGTGCCCTCGAAGGAAAACGGGATGCGGCGGAAGAGGAGGGCGACGAGCAGGAGGAGGAGGATGATGAGGAGGGCGAGGATGAGGTGGAGGAACTGAGGACGCGAGTGGCTGCGCTGGAAAAAACGAGCGCTCGAGGAGGCAAGATGTGGGAGGTGAGTGCAATTTCCGGATGATCGATTTTGTTGTTTACCAATCTGAAAAGCCAGCGGTGCTTTGTTGCCTTGTTATTTCCGGATCCATGTAGCATGCGGATGACATACAAGCTGAACCTCGTGTGGGCCATGTGCTATGCTAAGAATGTGTGGCGGCCCAGTTGCACAAACCGCTGTGTTGCCTCGTGTGAGTCCTAACCGTACCCCCTTTGGTGCCGCCCATGCCAATCTTTCTCCGCGCTTCACTCTGTTGCTGCTCGCGCCTGCCGGCTGCAGGCACTCATGACACTGTGGAGCAAGACAGCTCCGGGCGAAACTTGCATGGACCTCAGCGGCGCCGCCCTCCTCACAGACGCTGCTCTCACACAAGTGGCCTCCTTGCGCTCCCTCACGTGGCTCACCCTGCAAGGCTCCTCCGGCTTCACTGCAGCGGGAGTGCCACAGCTCTTCTCGCTCACGGGTCTCACGAATCTGAATCTACGGGGTACAGGTGCAACGGACGCTGCTCTTGAGGGGATTTCCAGCCTGAAGCAGCTCCACACACTTGATCTTGTCAACACCAAGTTAACCGATGCAGGAATTGCAAAGCTGCAGGGGATGCCCGCACTCACAGTGCTGTTTTTAGGAGAGTGTGTCAGTGTCACATCGGCCAGCATGGTGCATGTGGGGAAACTGACCTCACTGGAACGTCTCATTCTGTTCTGCACTGGAGTGAAGGAAGATGGACTGCAGCACTTGTCTACTCTCACTGCACTTAAGCTCTTCACTCTGTCTCCCGGAATGTCTGATTCCGGCATGAAGCACCTGAGGAACATGAAGCGCCTGGAGAGGCTGGGGCTGTGGGATGCTAACGTCACTGTGTCCGGAGTGAAGTGGCTCAAGGGGCTTAAGTGGCTGCAGATGATTGGAACACAGGCTGAAGATGTTGCGGAGCTGGTCAGGGACATTCTTCCTGGGGTGATTGTTACACCAGGTCCTATTTAGTGGGGGTCAGGTAATGACATGCCATGGAAATATCTGCTTAGGCTACGGCAATGACATGCCATGATGACTCATTCCACAGATTTTGGATTAGTTTGCTGTATTGTTTGTCGCTTGCGATCAATCCAATTTCAGGCTTGGCCACAGCCTAGGGCAAATCTCCAGTCTAGGGCACATCAGACTGCCACAGCCTGCCTGGACCAACCCATTTGCAGCTGCAGGGGGAACACGGGCTACTAGCACAAGCACTACATTGAATGTTAGAATCTTTACACAAACCCTGTGCCTGCCCCCTCATCCCCTCCTTCCCCACCCCAGCCCCTTCCCCTAAGCTAAGCTAAGGCACACATCATCACAATACAGCCAAGTCATCCTCCACGGGGCCTCCCTCCAGGGCTGCAGCAGCGGCGATGGTGTCGGCCTCAGCAATGGCGGTGGCAGCAGTGGAGGCGCGCAGCAGCGGCAGCACAAAGCCCTGCAGCTCCGCCAGCTCTGCCAGCACATGCGCCTCCGCCCCCACCACCTGCGCTAGCATGTGGAACTGGGGGAAAGAGGAGGAAGGGGATGAATAGACAGAAGCATACGCCTCTGCCCCCACCACCTACGTCAGCATGTGGAACTGGGGAGGGAAGGGGCAGAAGGTGGGGAAAGGAGGTGGCGTTGGTGTGATTCATAGTGGAATCCCACCCCCTGGAAAGGGGGGCGGGAGGGACGCCAGTGGGAGTTGATCGATTGGGTGATGCAGAGTCAACAGAAGAAGTGGAGAAGGGAGGGCGAGGAGGAAGTAGGTGGATTGGGGTCGCATGAGAGAGAGGAGGAGTAAGCAACGAGTGCAGCAAGAGAGGGAGATTGGCACTACTGAGGAAGAGCCAGAATAAAACAACAAGTGCAGTGGGCACAAGGGCGAATTACAGCAGCAGAATGCACAGCACGCAAGCGTGGCAGGGAGGAAGGACAAACACAAGCAGAATGAAGAGCACCCTTGATTACATGTACGTACCCCCTGCTGCAGCTTGGGTGTGGCAGCGACGTGCTGTGCTCTAAGGTCGAGCACCATGTGCAGGATGGGGATGAGAAACGTGCTGTAGCGCGGGTTTGGTACCAACCTGGAGGGGAGTGGGGAGAGAGGTGAGATGGAAGAGAGTGGTGGGTGCAGATAGGAACTATGTGAGGGAGTGTGTGGAGGTATGGCTGTGGCAGAGGGGCTCGGGCATTGTTGCAAGGGGATGCTCGTACGTTGAGTGCAGGAATATGAAGAGATGGGAGATACATAAAAAGGAGAGTAGCGCAGCACTGAGGGACTGTAACAAGGGAGGTGCAATGCAAGCAGGGAGGTGCAAGGGCAAGGGCGTGCAAGCAGGGGGGGTTTACTTGCGGCAGAACTGAAGGAAGCGGGTGAGCGACTTGACTGGCAGCACGGCAATGGCATTCGCCAGCACGTTGCGCGCTACCATCTCCTCCAACACCGCTATTAGCATCTGCCAAAGGAGGGGAGAGGGGGAGGGGGCGGATGGAGTGGCGGGACAGAAGGGTGGAGGGATGAGAGGGGCGAAAGGGACGCAAAAGCGGAGTTGCTATCACTCCTCCACCACCGCCACCAGCATCTTAAGGGGGAAGGGGGCATGGGGAGAGGGGAGCGGAGGGAGAGGCAGAGAGGAAGGGTGGGTGGGGGTTGGAACAATCATCGCTACCAGCATCTAAAGGGGATAGGGAAATGGAGGGAGAAGGGGGGTGGAGGGAGAGTAGGGGTAGGAAATGCGAAAGGGAAAAGCACAGAGGGCAGGTGCACTGCATGAGCACTCAGAGCACAGACACCGAGCGGAGACACATGCACTTCCCTCCCACACCAAACCAAAACCCCCCTCCCCTCTCCGAAGCCTCCCTCTTCATGTCCCACCCCTTTTTACCCGCACTTCCTCCCCCTTCCCTCGCGGCCGTGCCATGTGTGGCGGCTGACCTCGGGTTTCTCAAGCGTGGCGTCCTGCATGGCGGCACGCAGCGCAGCGGAGTGCTGGAAGCGGCGCAGCTTGTTGTCGTGCACTGCTAGATGCACTCGCTTGCGCTGCGCCACTAGGTAGTCCTCCGCCTGGCACACACATGTGGACAAGAGGGAGGGGGTCGTGATGGGGCGGGATGTTGGAGACACGAGGGGAGGGGAGAGAGGCGGGAGCGAGAGGGGGGGGGAGAGGAAGGGAGAACAGGAGCGAGGTGGAAGGTTGGAGGAATGGTCGCTGGGAGAGGGAATCGGCAACGATAGCAGCAGCATACGAACAGCAAGCAGCACACACTCAAGACAGAAGTCGTGGCGGGAGGAGAGAAATCAACGAGAAGCACGACAGCAGCAGCAGCAACAGCAACAGCAACAGCAACAGCAACAGCAACAGCAGCAGCAACAGCAACAGCAACAGCAACAGCAACAGCAACAGCAACAGCAACAGCAACAGCAACAGCAACAGCAACAGCAACAGCAGCAGCAACAGCAACAGCAGCAGCAACAGCAACAGCAACAGCAACAGCAGCAGCAACAGCAGCAGCAACAGCAACAGCAACAGCAACAGCAACAGCAACAGCAACAGCAGCAGAAGCAGCAGCACCCACCGCAGCCTCTTCCGTCTGGCCGCGGACAAGATATCTGAAGTTGGCCGTCTGCAGCGGCCCATGCAAGCGCCCCTTGCTGCCCCGCTTGGTGGCGCTCTTCTGCATGCCTGGCACGCGCGGCACGGCTGCCGCCGCTGCTGCAAGCTGCAGGTGGCGCCGCTCGCTGTCGGTGGGTGCGCGGTGGCGGATGGCAATCTGGCCCCCTGCCATGCCCACGGCTAGTGTGGTGCCGCGCGCTGACATGCCCAGGGAGAGGATGGGGCCGTCATGCCGTGCCATGTGCTTCACCTGGAGGAGAAGGGGGGGAGAGAGGGGCGGGTGGGGAGGTGGTTATGAGGGGGCGGAGAGAAGCGGTTGGGTGGGTTGGAAGGGACGGGAGGATTCTTGAATGTTTGTGGGAGTGGGCATCACCAAAAGAGGAGAGGAAGATGAGGTAGGTAGGTGGGTAGGTGCGTACGTGGATGCAGTGGAGTCTATCAGCAGATTTGGTGGTTGAGTTGGGTTGCGGGAAAGAAAGA